TTGATATGTTAAATTTTCGAGCCGAATTTCCCATCCCATATGACTGTTATTAGGTAATTCGTTTTCTCAGAGGATAGCAAATATCTTGACAGAAGTATCCAATAAAAGTACATGTTTTGTCATAGGCAATATATAAAGGCAATGTTCTTCACCTTATGGTGGAGGATAAAAAATATCGGTCCAGCCGAACTTTGTTATTTATTTACCCGTTGTAGTGAACATTTATTTCAAATGAAAAATAGTTTATATTAACAAGTTTCGTTAAGTAGCAATTAGCATAATGAAAAATAATTAACAAATAACGATTATAATAAGCTAAGTTCAAAAGTTAGTTTAAGTAAGGTAGCTATGTAATACAAGTCAATTTACCGAATACATCAACCGATTTTAATTTATTATTTTTTTATTACATAAACAGGTTTTTTGGCAGTAAATCGCTTTAATTAGATTTGAATTTTTTAGTCAAATACTGATGCCAGTATCATTGAAATTTTAACTTATTGCTAAGTGAGCTTCATTCGATGTTTATCTCATATTTTCTTGGTCTAAGTATTCTTGAAGAGAAATTAAAAATTTATTATTTCAAACCGGTAAAAAGAAGATCAGTTTATAAACATGATGAATAGTACGGACCGATGCAACTCGATATTGCAACGATGCAAATCGAAGTTTTCCAGTAAAAAACGTAGTAAAGAATGTTAAAAATCGGACGCGGCCGAAGTGTTCGGATGTACAATATCATGTCGATGGAACAGATATAGCATCTTTAGATGACAATTGACATCGGACGAAAGTCATTCTGAAATCTATGCAAAATTTTATATCAAGGGGTCTTTGGTATGAAATCGAGCTAAATTATATATGACACGCGACATTCTAGACTTATTTCGGTACACCGTGAACATTTTCCGTGTAAAATTTGTGATGTTCGGCTTACAAGAGTGGCTTCTAGAAAATCATACAAAAAATGTTTTTGGTTCATTTCATCTCCAAACAAAATATTATTTGTTTTTCAAAATTATAGGTGACGTCCTTGACCATAACCGAAACCTCATGCACAATTTCCTCGCGATCTCCACGAAATTTTCGTCTTCTATTGTACTTACTTATTTACTTAGCTGGCTTGTGACAGAACTTTCATTCCATAAACCGAGCTTAAAAAACTATTCCAGGTGCGTCGTTTTTTTGCGCAGTTGTTCAATTTGAAACGCCATGTTCGGCAATGTCCACTGGATCTTTTCATCTAGTTCTAGGCCATGTTTGGCAATATCCACTTGATCTTTCCATCTAGTTCGTGACCTTCCCCTTCTGCGTGAACCATCAGCTGGTTCGCTTTTATATGCTTTTTGAGCAGCTGCAGCTCGATACGTCTAACAACGCCGATGTCCGAGAATAGATGGTACAACTCATGTTTCATTCGACGACGATATTCACCGTCAACGAAGATCGCCCCATAGATCGTTCAGAAAATTTTTCTCTCAAACAGGCCAAGAGCTGCCTCAAGTTCCTTTAAGTACCTTCAGATCCATATGACAGCAATGGTAGTAACATCGTCTTGTAGAGAGTGAGTTTGGTCTGGCGAGACGTGACCTTGTTTCTAAACTGCTTACTTAGACCATAGTAGCATTTGTTGGTCAACAATATCCTTATAGAATTTAAAAACTGATGTCATTAGTTTTATTTATATAGGTATATAAAAAGTTTGACTTCCTCGAAGCTATAGTTTTCAAGTTCCACAATTGATCCGAGTCAACTGGGCGTTTTGCGCGTTGATACCATTAGCTTGGCCTTCTTGCCATTTACTGCCAGACCCACCTTGGCAGACTCCTTATCAATTTGTTCATAGGTGGATGTTGCCGCTCGCAATCTTCGACCCATTATGTCGATGTAGTCGGCGTAGGTGATTAACATATGCTGTTTGGTGTACAGAGTGCCATTTCTGTTCACATTTGCATAGCAGGATGTTTAACAGGTCACACGACAAAATGTTACATTGAATTTATATAATTACTAGCATATGCCCGCTACATCGTTAGCGGGTCTTTCAAAAAAAAAATAATTTTATAGTTAAAATGTATAAAGATTGGTTTAGCTACACAATATAATTTATTTTATTTAATAATCTCGATACATGTGGATTCAGTACAAAGAACAAGTCTTAAACAAAATCTTAGATCTTAGTCCGCATTTTTTTTCGAACATAGGCTATATCGAGAACAATTTACTTATTTTCATTTATTTCTCAAATTCAACGGTATTAATATTCAAAATTTCTCATCACACTGCAATATCCCGTCTCAAAGCTTATTTTATTCCTATATTTTCTGAAAGTGTACTATTTTCTCCAAATTTTTTTTTAACTTTTTTGTTCCTCTCTGTACGTTTTAGTACTTGTGTACCATTTTAGTAAGGATTTGTAATATAACATTTTGTACAGTATATCATTTATTATACAGAGTTCTGCCTTTATAGGGAAGATTGCAAAAATGTATTATTTTTAATGCAGTGTGTTACAAAATCCTTATTGGAGAAATTGTATATCATCTACATAAAGATCTCAATCATTATTCATCACATCGGAATTCGCGGAATTTAGAACCGTAAAAACTAATGTCAAACAAAACTGCGAAAACATTGTTTTTCATACAAAAAGCCTTGTACCAAATTCTATTTCCACCCGTCGTATACAATGTGTTGTACTTTTAAAACTTATTTCTGGAAAATATTTATGTATAAATGTTTATCGTCATAGTTCCAGATAAGTATTTAATAACAGGTTCCTATCTTTATCCGTTCTGCCGTACCCAATATTTAGTACTTGTTGCCACCTTTAAGTACAATTTACCAATTTTTTGGCGTATTCTATTTCGTTTGCCGTTCCCACACAGTAGTATTTTTTACCATTTAGTACAAATTCCCAATGAATCAGTCCGACACTTATAACACAATTATATTTATACCCTTTTATATTAAGCAATGCCAGTTTCTATCATATTAACTTGTTGATGACGAATTCCAAACTTTACCACTTCTGATCGTTCAATACCCATATAAAATTTTTAGTTGTTTCCAGGCATTTTAGAACCCATTTAATAAGAAACTTCATCACTACACTATTTTGTTTAAGTACAAACTTTTCCCACTCTGAATACAAATATTTAGTACATTTCTATTTCCTACCATTCACTATGGTCCAGAATTTAGTACTTATTTTAAAAATACATATGCATATCATTATACGTGAAATAATTAAGCACCATACTATGTTTCAGATTTTAATCTATACCGTCTCAGTTGTCATTTAATATTTAGTACCATTTTAGTACTAATTTCAAAAAAGGATGCATAACGAAGTATTTGTAATAGTTAAATCAACGTACCATGTTTTGAAATTTCTATTTCTAACGGTTCCATTGTACTTTTTACTTTGCACTTTTTTGTCACCACTTTAGTACTAATTTGTAATAGTAAAAGCTATATACAAAGTTCCCGATTTCTATCTCTATCAGTTCTGTTGTAATATTATATTCATAACTTTTAAAATTTTAGTACTAATTTGCAAATAATATTTTTGCTCATAGTTCTATATATAATAGTTTGAGTTAAATACCATGTTTCAGATATCTAGCCGTACCTGTTCCATTGTAATATAATATTTAGTACTTTAGAGTAGCTTAAGTACTAATTTCCTAAATTTGTTCAAAAATTCCCCTTCGCCTATCATTGACAAAGCTGCATACCAAATTTCAGAGTTCTACTTCCAAACGTTCCGGTGTAATATAGTTTTAGTGCTTTTGAAATAGCTTAAGATACATATCAATTATCAGATAAGCATCTCTACTGGTTCCATTTAAATATAATATTTAGTACTTTTTAGTACCTCTTAGTACTAAATTACAATTTTTTCACAAATGCCCTTTGAATTGTTATAGGCAAATCTGTATACCAAATTTCAGACTTATACTTCCAACCGTTCCTGCGTAATACAGTTTTAGTACTTTTTAGTACCATTTAGTACTAATATCCAACAAATATTTTTTGCATGTTTTAGAAGCCTAAGCTACATACAAAGTGTCAGATATGTATATCTACCGATTCCATTCAAATATAATATTTAGTACTTTTTGGTACTTCTTAGTATTAAATTCCAAAATTTTTTCACACATTCCACTTCGCTCGTCCTAGACAAAGCTACATACCAAATTTCAGTGTTCTACATCTAACCATTCCCGCGCAATTCAGTTTTTAGTACTTTTTAGTACGAATTTCCAAAAATCCCGCCTTATCGCATGCCTACACACCAAACTCTACCTACAGGCCAAATTTTAAGTTCCTAGCTTTAGCCGTTTCGTCTTATACATTTTTTTGGGATTATTTTGAATATTTTTCCATTCATTTCATACTTAAGCAGCGAACATGTCCTTTTTACATATTTGTCATGTTGGGCGCCATTGTTTAGAAATTGATATCAACGTTAATTTTCTGACCTATCATATTTATTAATGCCGAACCAGCATTGAACATACATTGTTTTGTCATTAAACACGTTGCTTCTATGTTTTTTTATGAACAATATTTTTTAAATCAAATTTTCAATTCAAAATACATAAATTTTATAAACGATTTTTATCATACTTAGTTGACATTACCTAACATGAGAAGATCTCATCGGCACTCCCAATTTTCCCCTCTCCGTCTTTTGATCAAATTGAGAGAATACAAAACAATATCTTCTTTTTCTCACTCTCATTTCCTCTCTCTCACACTCGCTCCTACTGTATTGTTTATTGTTCAACATCTGTTGTTTGGAATGCTCACTTCAGTTGTTGTTGAGTGTTCGTGTGCGGCAGATGCGACTGTGGAGAATTCGTGCGAACCAAATTAGTCACAACATAATTTTCGTTCGTGAATGTTGTTTAACGTGATTGCGATAAAAAATAATTTAATCTCATTGACCAATAGATTAGCAACAAACAAAGTTTGTTTTATTAACCGAAAAAATGCCAGTTGCTGAGTTCATAAATCGTTACTTCTGCACAAATCAGGTGAAATTGTTCTGCTTCGAAGGTGGTCCGTATTTCGATTTGGCATTTTGGAGTGTGGCATCGCTTTTATCAATCGGTTTGTTCTATAAATGGCGTGAAGGTCCCTCGTATAAGAAAAACAATCGCATCGATGGCAAGGTGGTCATTGTTACCGGCTGCAATACGGGCATTGGCAAGGAGGTAGCCTTTGAAATGGCCCGGCGTGGTGCCCGTGTCTATATGGCCTGCCGTAACTTCAATAAATGTGAAAAAGCCCGTCGAGAAATTGTCCAACTTACCGGCAATACCAATGTATTCAATCGTACTCTCGATTTAAGTTCTCTACAATCGGTACGAGAATTTGCTGAGGCATTCAATAAAGAAGAACGACGTTTGGATATTTTGATCAACAATGCTGGCATTATGGCAACACCTCGTGGATTAACCGCTGATGGTTTCGAGCAACAATTCGGTGTTAATCATTTGGGTCACTTCTTGCTCACAAATCTTTTGCTGGACAAGTTGAAGGCTTCGGCGCCCAGTCGTATTGTGGTACTCAGTTCATTGGCCCATATTTTTGGACGTATACAAAAAGATGATATCAACAGCGAGAAGAGCTATAGCCCCTTTAAGGCCTATGGTCAGAGTAAATTGGCCAATATATTGTTTACACGTAAATTGGCAAAAATGCTAAAAGATTCCAAAGTGGATGTGAATTGTCTGCATCCCGGCTCGGTGCAAAGTGAATTGACACGCAATAATGCTTTGCTGAAATGGGGTTCGGCAATATTTTCGAAATTTGTTTTACGTTCTACCCGTGGAGGTGCTCAGACGGTTTTATATTTGGCATTAGATCCGGATATGGAAGGTGTAACGGGTGGTTATTATGATCGCATGGAATTGGTGCCACTAATGAAAAAGGCACGCGATGATGAAATGGCCGATTGGCTGTGGAAGAAAAGTGAAGAAATGGTTGGACTTAATAAGAAAAGTGATTGAAAATTTTGTTAAATACATTTTTTAAGTTAATAAAAATATTTTAAAATTATTGGCCGTTGTTTTTATTCTAATAAGATTTGCTTTAAACAGCCTTTCTATTTTGATTTTAAAATAATCTATCTATAAAATCGTTGTTGAAGATATAAAATAAATATAAACCGATTACACACTTAGTCGATATAAAGTGGTTAAAAAAGTGCAGGCACATTTCGCCAAACTGTAACAAGTTTCTTCCGGTTGTTGGGATATGCTCGTGAGGGTAGGGTTCATCACAGAAAATGTATACTGAAGTGACCGAGAGTGAAAAGATATAGTTTTAATTTTCAAATTCAGAATACTTCGCTTTATTTAGAAACATAAACTGATATACAATTTTCATATAGTTAAATTCTTAAAGTCTGCAACGTTTGGTTCTGCTCTGCTCCGGTACGGCTGTTGGTATTACAAATAATTGAAGAAGTAGGCAGAAGGAATTGCTGGTTGTGGTGATCCGTATTAGGCTTTGGTTCCTGCTGCTTCGATATAAGCCCCTACGGCTTTTCAAACTTTAAACTCTTTCCTACAAAGGCACACGACGGCTCTATATTTAGACTCTGCTATAATTACTTTTTAAATAAAGACCCACGACGGCTCCTTATTTTAGTTTGGTTAAAATCACTTTTCTTTGGATAAAAGCCCAGGGCGGCTCTTTATTTCAGTTTGATTAAAATCACTTTTCTTTGAATCAAGGTCCACAACGGATCTTTATTTCGGTTTGTTTATAAAAACTTTTCTTTGGATAAAGGCCCTAGAGCCTTCGTGGTTAATCAATAATAATCATAAATCACTTTTTTCACCAACTGCACACTTCAGGAAGAAATCCTAACGAAAGCTGCTAAAATAGTCAAAGTTCTTACTACCGACAATGTAGGAGCGATGTCTCTATAATCAAGCGGCCCCTAAGGCATTTAAGACGTGTACTATAAATTCAAATGCGGTTCTTAACTGTAAAAGTGCTCTGCATGATATACTACAGCACGTTATTTTTGTTGGGTTACAGAACATAGTAACATAAATGGGAACCAAATATCTGGGGATTTGCAGTTGTCCAGTCTACCGATTGAGGGATCTGTACAACGTCCCATTGGCAAATTCCGAAAGTAACCTGGATGTAGGTTTTTTAAAAAAATATATAATAGTTCAGACAACACAGAATACATTTAGTGGTCAATATAATTTACAAATCGACCAAATAAATAATTTTTCTCGTTTCTGCTTAACTAAAGATGAAGGCATTACGTTTCTCATTTTCCCGTGGTCCTGACGGAGTTCCAACCTATTTTTTTGAAATCTTGCGACAATGAATTTTTTTACGCACTGCAAAAATATGTAATTATTCCTTAAATTCAGGTTACTTCCTGCATTTCCCCTTTTCAACGCGGTTTTATGAAAGGCAGATCTACTACTTACAATCTTCTTGAATTTGAATGTCATGTTCCAAATGGCCTTACAAATAATCAACAGACTTCAGTAAAGCTTTCGATACTGTAGTACATTATTATTGCTTCATAAAATTAATGTTATAGGGTTCCCGCCAATTCTTTTAAGCTGGATTTCATCCTATTTCGTCTGTACCCCAAAAGGTTTTGTTTTGTGATTTCTAAAAATATTATGGTCATCTGGGTCCGTTACTGTTGTTGGTTCTTCATCTAAATGATCTTCCGAATTCCATTCGTTTTTCTTAAATACTAATGTATGCAGATAAGTTTGGAGCCCGTTTTATAAATGTCACTCCGATAAAATAGAGTCAGGTCAAGTTCAGTTTTTAATCTTTGCCTTGTGTGGCCTAAATTGGAACCCATCTCAATTATTCCACCTTATAAAAGTCGTTTATTGTTAATTAGTCTTCCAACACTTGAAAGAAGACGTTTTATGTTTATAACATTATTTATTATTAAATTGATGCCTGGCCTGATTGATTTGCCTTTTCTTACGGGAGAAATAATTTTCAATGTTCCTTCTCGAAGAACATGTAATTTTGAACCGTTGAAATTGTCGATCGCGAGAACTATTTATGAACTAAACAATCCAATGAGGTTCATATGTGTAATAGCTCAAGTAATATATGTCTAAGTTGTCCATTGCATGCTATAAAGACTTCTATACTGAACATGGAAACAGTAAACCCTAGCATTTGAGCAGGAATTATCAAATTTGTTTGTTATAGCTTCTGTTTAATGTTTTTTGTTCAATGAAGTTTGCTTATGGCATTGTATTGTATCGATCTAATTCTAATTTATATTTGTTGTATAATTACAAATTGCCGGCAGATGATCTATCTGTAGCCGGTATTGTGTTTCAGCAAAACAAAGACGGATCGAAATGTCACAAAACAACGCTATAGTACGCATTTCTCAATAACCTGACTTGAGTTTCATCAAACATTTATGAAGATCCGAAAATATAGATGAATATTTAAATTCACTAATCTTTGTTTATTTTATTTATTCTGTAGCACAATGCTAATCTATTATTAGATTCATATAGATGTAATAATCAGATACCTATTAAATAATTGATTTTCACCGCCCATCTTCTGATAAAAATTGATTTTTAAAGGTGTAATTATTTTCTATTTGAACTGAAAGATCATCGATTTTAATTATGAATCATATATTATTCACAGCAGCGAATATAGGTTTGTGATTAAAAAATTTTCTGTAATTTTAAGCTATATGACACGTTATTTTTAAGCGAGCATTTTCTACAATGGCGCCCAAACAAAAATCCGTCGTATATAGTTTTTGCAACTATATGCCACTGATATGATGCTGTATTTCCTCCCAAGAAGAAATCCCACCTCATACATACATCTTCCATCAGAGAACAAGGGTCTAATCAGTGTTACCGTGGTTGCGCAGCTATGTCATAAGCATTTAATAGAGGCCCTTAACAAGGCATTATGCCATCCCTCATTCACGCCATGCACCAACATTCAGTCACGCACATTAAATTTTCAATACACACAATCCAACTCAATTATCAACAGTTAAAATTGTCAATATGTGTTTTTATTTTGTTATCTGAAAAATAGCCGGCACAACAAGTAGCTACAGTTGACGCTCTTTTTACCTGCGGATCAAATTTTATAACAAACAGATAACAAGTTTTTTGGTGAGAGAGCAAACTGAGTGTAAGTAGAGACCAAAAAACAACGTCAGGGATGGATCAATCGAATCTTTTTTATTTCTGATTTTTTTTCACAGTCGGCTCCATATAAGTGCAAACCTTGAAAAACTTGCTATAGTAAATTTTAATAGACTATTGTAAGTCTTGGCTATTTTTCAAACAAAATTGTAAGTCTTCCTAAATAATTAGGAATTTTTTAATAGATCAAGTTTAGCATGGGATTTTTTAATTTGTACACACAAATTGTGTCTACAAATTCTTTAAAAAAATCCCCAGCCCTTTAAAAAATATTTTTTAAAAAAGTCCCACCTTACTGAGCCTTTTAAAAAATAGTCTATAAAAAGCCATACCTTAGTGAGGCTCTAAAAAATTATCTTTAAACAAGTGCAAAAGCGTTATGTTCGGCCGGGCCGAACTTTGGATACCCTCCACCGTAGTTATACTGACAGATACAGTGGCTCCATCGAATAATCGGACAAGTGGTTGTCAGATATAATAATGCTATACATTTCAAAAAAATTGTTTAAATGTGTAGTTTTTTCGCTTTTATTTACACATTACTTACTTTTATTTCGGAACAATACAAAAAACAACAACTTTCCTAGTGATAACAGTAAATTTCGCCAGAAAAACAAAATTAACTCAATTTATTGTGCTCAACGCAAAATCGGACAATGCAAAGTATCAATGTCAAAAAATGCAAAAAATCGAGAAATTAATATTTAGTTGCATATTCTTTGTTGTCCAGAACGGCCTGTAAACGCTTCGGTATTGATTTGACCAAATTCTGGCATACCTCCGGCTCTATGGAGTTCCACGATTTCAGTAAAGCCTCCTTAAGCTGTACCAAGGAGTTACATTTTTTTTCATACACTCTTCTAGCTAATTCTTCGCAAAGATGCTCAATTACGTTAAGGTCTGGGCTCTGTGCAGGTGTTTGTATAAGTTTGGGACAGTTATGGATCAACCAAAGCTTTGCAACACCTGATGTGTGCTTGGGATCGTTGTCTTGATAAAAGGCAAAGTTGTTCGCGATACCCAATTTGTCTGCACTTTGATTTACATTTTGTTTTAAAATGTTGAGGTAGACAAATTTGTCCATTTTACCATCAATAAAATGCAAATTGTATATTCCCGCACTCGACATGCAGACCCAAACCATAACAGAACCTCATCCGTGCTTAACAGTGGCTTTTGTATTCTTATGATTAAATTCAGCATTTGGCTTACGCCACACATACATCTTTCCATCTGATCCGTGCGAATTAAATTTGCTTTCGTCAGTAAACAGATCCTTAATATAATGGAAACTATCAATAGAAATGTATTTTAAGATGATCTATCATCAAATTACTTGCTTCCAAAAATCTTCTAATTTTAGTAAATACTCCTTGGCATATTTTATTCTACTGTTTTTATTTTTAAGGCTTATAAATGCTTTTTTTCTTGTAACTCTTCCATAATAATCATATTTATGTAATGTATTGCGAATAGTATTTAGGCACACATCTTTTCAAGTGCGAGTTTTTAAATTTATTTTAAGTTCTTTTGCGCTTTTAAGTGGATATTGTTTTATTTCTTTTAATATCGAACGCTCTTCTCGCTCATTCAATATCATCCATTGACCTTCTCTGCTTTTATTGGTCAATCTGAACTCATCACGGAACCTCTTTATAATGTCGTGGACAGTAGATTTATTCATTCCAACCAATACGGCAATTTCTCTTACTGTTTTACCTTCATAATTCAATTTATCTATTAATTGTCTGATTTCCACACTGAATTTTTTCCCTTTTGGAGCCATTTAAATTTATTTTTATTTAGTTTTACCACTTTCTTGATCTAAATGCAATTTACAAATGAATACGACAAACAAAATACAGATTTGAAGTTCATATTTGCATAATAACGGGACTTTTAACATTGATACTTTGTTTTGTCCGATTTTGCGTTGAACACAATAAATTGAGTTAATTTTGTTTTTCTGACGAAATTTACTTTTATCACTAGGAAAGTTGTTGCTTTTTGTATTGTTCAGAAATATAAGTAAGTAATGTGTAAATAAAAGCGAAAAAAACTACACATTTAGACATTTTTTTGAAATGTATAGCATTATTATATCTGACAAACACTTGTCCGATTATTCGATGGAGCCACTGTACATGCAATGAAAATATAGGGAACATAACTAAAAGTGGACATATACCGATAATACTACAAACCGATTTATGTACACCAAATACAAAGTATAAAATCCTCAAACTACTGTAATTTAGATTACAAAGTTATATGAGGCTATGCCTAAAGGGGGATCAATATTGATTACATAGTGTAGGAAATAGTGAATATTTGGGGATATCATTATATGAGGGCTATGCCTAGTTAATGACCGGTATATGCCAATTTTGAACCCATTATTTTAATTATTTATCTCAATAATTTCCTTCAGGAGGTATCACTATATTGAGGAGATGCCTAAATGTCTGCCGATATATTTCATTATCGTCATGTTTGAGTTTTTTTATCACAATATTTTTACAAGGCGGAATGCTTACAACAGATGGCTAAATAGTCTTTGTATGGTAAAAATTGACGACTCCTGGTAACGACTACCCAACCGCAACACACGGAACAAATCAGATAACTATTTGAATATAAAAAAGGGGGTTATATGGGGACTACCCCTAAAAACGGGTGAATATTAATAATTTTTGATGGGGAGATTTGCTACCATATTTATTTATTTATTTATCGATATAAATCTAGCACCGTGAGAATAATAAAATTCTTATGAAGTGGTGCTAGTGGTACATTGAATATTTCAAGAGTATATTACGAATAAAGATAGTAACAAAATATGTTTATTGTTCATTTTATATAAGATATTCTTGTAATTCATGTTTGAAACGCAGGATGTTGCTTATAACCTGTATATTAGGTGGAAGATTATTCCAAAGACGAATAGTTGGTATGAAAAATTGTTTTTCCGATTTGGAAGTTTTAAATTTTAATTGTATTATTTTCTTGCCTCTGTTAGATCTGGCAAATTGTATTCTTTTTATTAAGTAAGATGGTTCCTTGTTTATTATAATTTTATGAAGAAATACGAGAGCTCTATATTTATGGTAGTTTTCAAATGTCATGTTGAAAATCTTATATGCAAGCTCAGAAATTCGATCACTACGTTTTTTATTAAATATATATCTTGCAATGTTATTAAACGTAACTTTAAGCTTGCGTTGGTCAGCATGATCACAGTTGTAAAAAACTTCGGAGCCATATAAAAGAGTCGGAACAAGGTATGATTTTGCAAGTAACATGCGTATTTCCATGGGTGTAGAGGTATGAACTGCCCAGAGGTTTCGTAACATTCCATGTACTTTTCCTGCTGTTATATTAATGTGAGTCGACCATGACAGCGTTTCATTAAATACCACTCCTAGGTTAGAAGCGAAGCTAACGTATTCAATTGAAGAATTATTAATTTTTAAGGCATTTTTTTGAGTTTGTTGTTTGTTTCTACATATGTGTATGCATTTTGACTTAAGGGGGTTTATTCCTAGCCTGTTGTTTTCAGCCCAATTAGATATGTTTGAATGTTGAAATAACTTCAGTGTGTTCGACACATCTGAAGGAAAATTCATTTTCATTATGAACAATATTCAAGCGTGAGTAAAAATTCTCGGAATTGGCGGTCAAGTTTGGACCAACGAATTTTAGATTTAACTCTTCAACATCGATATCATTATTTGAATGGGATCTATATTTGTTTCCAATGCCGATTTCTCGTATTTTCTTCCATTTACATTTGCTGCTTAATGCTGTTGAAAATTTGCATTTGTAGTAAATAGATTTAGCCTTTTGTATACATCTTGTTACTTCACGTCTCAAAGATTTGAATTGTTCATAGAGCTCTGGGGTTTTGTATTTTTTCCATCGTTTGTAGCTATAATCTCTTTTATATATAATATCTTTGATATGATTATTAAACCATGGTTTCTCTTCATTCTTCGGTGAAAATGTTTTTAAGGGCACACATTCATCCAAAATAAGATAACATTTTTCTTGGAGAAACATTACTTGGTCATTTGCATTTGTCATGGTATAAATTTCATCCCAATAAATATTGAATAAGAGGTAATTTAAAAGGTTATAATTTGTTTTGCTAAAATTGCGATATGAAATGGTTTCATTTGTGATGATGACATCAATATCATAAACCATATAAAGAAGGTCGTGTTTAGAAAACACTGGAGCTGATAGCTGATCATACAGTAGTATTTTTGATAGTTGGTTAGAAAAAATAATGTCGATTAGGCTATTCGAACTAGTATGAAAATGAGTAGGATTTGTGGTGTTAACTGGATATAAGTCGATCATTTGAAACTCATCGGCTAACATATTTTCGAGCAGAATATTGCTGTTAAAATCGCCGCAAATAATAATATCATTGTATGTCACTGAAATATTTTGTAAGTCTGAAAGCAGTTCAGTAACTTCTGAATGTTTATTCGGTCTGTAAACGCAGCCAATAAGACATTTTTGAGACATTTTTAGATTTAACTCCATGATGATATATTCATTCGGGCTCGAACTTTTAGATTTCGATATAACTTTACATTTAATGCTATTTTTAATGTATATGCACACGCCCCGGCAAAAGATACGCGACTACAAAATACCAAATTTCAGAGAATTCGGTTGAAAAACGCGCTCAAGAACCTCAAAATATCGAAAATTGGGGGTATCCTTATATGGGGTCTACCCGAAAAAATTTACCTATATTTATAATTTTTTGTGGAGAGATTCGTTAGCCAATAAGAACTCAAATTACTAAATTACAGCCAATTCGGTGAAAAAATCCGGTCAAAACCCCAAAAAATGGAAATTGGGAGGTAGGTACCCTTATATGGGGGCTACCAGAAAAAGTGGACCTATATTTATAATTTTTAGTGGGGAAATTTGGTACGCAATAAGAACCCAATGTACCAAATTTCAACGAAATTAGTTGAAAACCGCGCTCAAGAGCCCTAAAATACCGAAAATTGGAGGGTACCCTTATATGGGGGCTACCCGAAAAATTGACCTATATTTATAATTTTTAGTATAGAGATTTGCTACCCAATAAGAACTCAATGTACCGAATTTCAGCGAATTCGGTCGAATAATGCGATCAAACCCCCCAAAATACCGCAAAATTAGGGGTACCCTTATATGGGGGCTATCCGAAAATATGGACCTATATTTATAATTTTTAGTGGAGATATTTGCTACCCAATAAGAGCTCAATGTACCAAATTTCAGAGAATTCAGTTGAAAAACGCACTCAAGAACCTAAAATACCGAAAATTGGGGGGTACCCAATGAACCGATAAAACCCATCCTTGACCTGCCTGCACACAAAAGACACTATCCAAAATTTTGGCGATCTATTTCAATTCGTTTAGAGGCTAGAGTGATTACAACAGACAGACGGACATGCTTAGATCGTCTTAGAATTTTACCCTGATGAAGAATATATATACTTTATAGGGTCGGAAATGAATATTTCGATGAGTTACAAACGGAATGACAAAATTAATATACCCTCCATACTATGGTGGAGGGTATAAAAATCCAAGCCTTATAAGGCTCTGAAAAAATATTCCTTTAAAAATCGACACCTTATTAAGGTATGATCTTGATACATATTCCTTGTTAACCTCTAAGTGATGTACCAGTGAAATTCTCATGCAGTTTTTTCGTTGGTTAGCTAAGTACTTCGATTTGTTACGAGCGACATGTGGGTATAAAAGGTATTAATTCAGAAGAGAATATCTCCAACAAAAAAAAACTATAGGGAACTGATGAGAATCTGTGGCGAGACTTCCCTGCCTTACCCCTTGGTGGACTATTTTGCAAAAATAAAAAGTTCGGGAAATATTATGTAAAAACCTATAAAGTCCACAGAATTTTATATATGCCATTGTAAACCTTGTACATTTTGCAGTGTAATCGATTAATACCGATAAACGCATCTGTACATGTATCGCCAATTCATATCAGCTGTTTAAACATATGTCACTGGAATATAAATATTTACAATGTTTACTTTTAAGGACATTAGGATATAAAAAATTAAGATTATCCCGATATTTTTGTTTATAAGTAGCAGAAATTTTGTAAATAAAGGCAATTAAGTTTTTACTGTCGTGTAGTTGGCACCAAAAAAACATATTTTTATTTACAGTTTAAATACTCTAGTAAAATGCCAGTGGCGTTTTAAAACCGCCGGCAGAACAATTAGGCATGCCTATAAACACTAGCACACTACATTTTTTTCCAACCTTCATAAAAGTTTGGGAATTCCTTATGTATTTTAAGCCCACGTAGAGTAATTCTGGTTTCCAATACAATTTGATACATTTTTTTTTAATTTCAAACATTTTTCCACTTTACTTGTTATTAAAATAATTATTTTTTACTTTAATCCCACCATTTGTTCACTTTCATTTCACAGCCATTCGGCCATTTCATCGTCCAAAGCTTTCTTTGATAATTTACCAGGCTTCATATTATGATAATATTGTCCACTTTCACCTTCTATGTCCGGATCAATGGCTGCAAAAATCGTTGTTTGGGCGCCACCCTTCGGTGTACGTAATATAACATTTCCAAACATCGAAAATGCACCTTTTACAACCGGATCATGACGTGCAATATCGGTCTGTATCGATCCAGGATGTAGACAATTTATTGTGACCCCGGTTCCATGCAATCGCTTCGCCATGTGTCGTGTAAACAGTACATTTGCCAATTTACTTTGCGAATAAGCATCAAATTTATCATAACTTTTCTTACTGTTTAAATCCTTCCGCTTAATCTTCCCCATACGATGGGCCACAGATGCCACAACCACAATCCGACTTGGTGCTGAGGCTTTCAATTTGTCTAACAAAAGATTGGTTAGCAGAAATGGTGCCAAATGATTGACGGCCAATTGTTGTTCATAACCATCGATGGTATAACCCAGAGGTGTTGACATAATACCGGCATTATTTATTAAAATATCTAAACGTTGAACTTCTTCGTTAAATTTCTCCACAAAATCTCGCACCGATTGCAGAGATGACAAATCAAGGGTGCGGTTAAAGACATTGCTATTACCACTCTGTTCAATGATTTCCAGGCGGGCTTCTTCACATTTCTGATAGTTTCGACAAGCCATATAAATATGTCCACCCCGTTTGGCCAATTCTAAGGCAGTTTCTTTGCCAATGCCGGTGTTACAGCCAGTTATCAAGACCACTTTGCCATCAATGCGCGTTGGTTTCTCGTACATTGGCCCATCTCTCCATTTCCGATACATAATAACAAATTTTGTTGAATCTTATAAGAATAGCGTCAGCTATAATCCCTATGAGGCGAAAATGCAAACTGAATTATTATTCAGCATTTTTTATTTTTCATTCACTAATCTTTAAATTTTCAACTCTTGAGTGTATAGATAAGTTCTCCATTCGATAACGATAAGATTTAAAACCACCTGTGACGAAAGGAATATCAAAATTAGAATATACGAAATTTTGTCCATAACAATACATTCATATGGATGTAATGTTTGAACAATTCAATAATTAATTAGTAAAACCCATCTATTGATAACAAGTTATTGATTTTTATTCGTCTAATTGATTTAAATTTGAACTAACAGATGACCAATGACTGATAACACCAGATGGGCAACGGAGGCACACAGCTACAGAATAAAACATATACAAGTGAAAAAATCGTTAAGTTCGGTCGCGCCGAACTTTGAATACTCTTCACCATAGATATACTGACAGATACATGCAATTAAAATATAAGTAACATACCAAAAAGTGGACCTATACCGGCAATTATACAAACTTACTTACTTAGCTGGCTTGTGACAGAACTTTCGTTCCATAAGCCGAGCTTAAAAAGATTTCCAGGCGCGTCGGTCTTTTGCGCAGCTTTTCCAAATTTTGAAGACCATATTCGGCAATGTTGTCTTCCACTTGATCTTTCCATCTATTGGTGGCCTATCCTTCTACGGGAATCATCAGCTGGTTCGCTTTTATATGCCTTTTGGGCTGGGGCATCTTCATCCATTCTCACAACGTAGTCGCTGCAGCTCAGTACGCCTAACAATGCCGATGTCCGAGAATAGCTGGTACAACTCATGGTTCATTCGATGGCGATATTCACCGTCAACGCAGATCGGCTCATAGATATTTCGGAGAATTTTTCTCTCAAACAATCCAAGAGCTGCCTCATTTGCTTGCGTAAATACCCATGCTTCAGTTCCATATAACAGCACGGGTAGTATCAGCGTCTTGTAAAGTGTGAGTTTGGTCTGGCGGGAGGTGGCCTTGCTTTTGATTTGCTCGCTCAGACCATAGTAGCATCTGTTGGCAAACACTATTTTCCTCCGAATTTCAAAACTGATGTCGTTCGTTTTATTTATGGCGGTACCAAGGTACAAAAAATCTTTGACTCGAAGTTCCCCAGTTGTTCCGAGCCAACTGGACGTCTTGCGCGTTGATATCATCAGCTTGGTCTTCTCGCCGTTTACTCCCAGACCCACTTTGACAGACTCCTTCTCAATTTGTTCAAACGTGGCTGCTACCGCTCTCAATGTTCGAACCATTATGTCGATTTCATCGGCGCAGGCGAGTAAAATATATTGTTTGGTGTACAGAATGCCATCTCTGTTCACCTTTTCCTCTCGTATGACCTTTTCCAGCAGGATGTTAAAAAGGTCACACGACAAACTGTCACCTTGTCTGAATTCTCGTTCGGTCTTAAAGGGCTCCGAGAGGTCTTTTCCGACTTTAACTGCTGATCTTGTGCAAGTTAAAGTTATTCTGCATAGCCGAATTAATTTTGCAGGAATGCCAAATGCAGGCTTTGTACACCTCTGAACGGATAGGGCTGTCGAATGCGGCTTTATAGTCGACGGATAGGTGGAATGTGTCGATATGTTTTTCATAGGATTTTTCCAGGACCTGGCGCAGTGTGAAAATCTGGTCAATGGTGGATTTGCCAGGTCTAAAACCGCATTGGTATGGTCCATTGGCTTAAGTCGTTCACGGCTTAATTGGCTTAAGTCGTTCACACAACACGCTGTATAGCACTTTATATGCGACGAGAAGGAGACATATCGTCCTGTCTCCTTTTTGTGCACGGGACTCAGGATGCTGAGGTTCCAATCATTGGGCATGCATGTCTCTAGCCAAATTGTACTAATCAGCTGGTGCAAGCATCTGACCACCAGTCTTGAATAGTTCGGCTTGTAACCGATCGGCCTTCTGCTTCTTTATTCTTAAGCCGATTGATTGCTATACTGACCTCATCTTGGCTATTTTATACCAGAAGTTTTTCAAAATGCTCCTTCCAGATCCTCAGCATGCTGTCTGTATCTGTCCCCAGGTTTCCTACTTCATCTCTATTATATCGGGACATTATTATTGGGACAAGGAGTGCTTTCGTCAAGCAGTTGAGTGGAGTAGGCTTCAGCTATTTGTTGTGTTTGCTATGGGGGCTGTATTTATAATTTTTAGTTGAGAGATTTAGTACACAATAAGAACCGAAAGTCCAAATTACATCGAATTCGGCAGATATCGAGATATTTCTAATTTTTAGTGGAAAATTGGGTACGCAGTATGAATGCAAAGTACCAAATTATAGCGACTTCGTTGGAAAAACGCACTTTAAAACTGCAAAATACCGAAAAATGGGGACTACCGTTATATGGGGGCTACCCAAAAAAATGGACTTATATTTAAAATTTTTGGTGGAGAGATTTTTTTATCTCTTAAAAACCTAATGTACCAAATTTCAACGAATTCGGTTGAAAACCGCTCTATAGAACCACAAAATCTCGAAAATTGGGGGGAACCCTTATATGGGTTCAATGCCTGAACGATATAACCCATTTCCGAACTTGACCTGCCTGCAGACAAAAGACAACCCTATGTGACATTTCTACACTTTATCTGGCGATTGTGTGATTTCAACAGACAGATGGACATGGCTAGATCGTTTTAGAATTTTACCCTGATCAAGAATATATTCATACTTTATACTTTATAGGGTCGGTAATTAATATTTCGATGAGTTACAAACGGAATAATAAAATTAATATAGCCTCCATACTATGATGGAGGCTATAAAAAGAGAGTTATATGAGGACTTCCCCTAAAAAGGAGAGAATATTAATAATTTTTGGAAGGGAGATTTGTTACCATATACGACAACAAAATACCAAATTCCACTGAAAAACGCGCCCAAGAACCCCACAGAAAATAGGTTGTACTTTTTTATTTTGGATTCCCATTTATTGGAATGACTGGTGTCACAAGAAGGAGTGGATCAAAACTATCTGAAGTATTTTCTAAAAAAACCGCTAACCATTAAACCCGTAGCTCAAAACTAGCATCGATTCTTCAACATCCATTGTACATAATACTTCATATATAGATCTTATAGGTCTTATAATTTAATAATTATACCCTACCCAACTATGTTGTCAGGGTAGGGTATATTATAGCTTTGTGTAGCCCCAAGAGTTTGTAACGCCACCTTTAAGTATACCAATCGTCATATCTCGACTAGCTGAATCGATCTAGACATGTGGGTCTGTCCGTCCGTCTGTCCATTATAATTTGTAAACACGATACAGGACGCAGTTATGGACCAATCCACAAAATTTTGCATGTAGGATGGGTTCTGGCCAATGAAGACCCCTATTGTTTTTGCTAAAGATCGGTTAATATTTAGAAAAGAAATAGACCGAATACTTAATTTTTATCGGCTTTTCTGGTCGCTCCAGAGGCCGCATTTATAGCCCGAACATCGCGAAATTTTAAATAGAGAAGGGGATCGGGCCAAAGAAGAAGCATTCCTGTTTTGATAAAGATCGGTCAATATTTAGCAAGTCAAATGGACCCTGACCTTTGTGTGAAAAATTACAAAATTTTTATTCTATAGCATACTCCTAAAGTATATCCAGGAGGAGTGGTTGACCTTTAAATTGATACCAATTATATTCTCGTATGTACTCGGGTGTGGGAGTTGCACTTAAATATTTGTAGGTGCTTACGTATTCATATATTATTTAGTAACCCATTACCACACTAGAGAGCGGAAATATAGAGCTGATCGCTTTGAAATTTTCCATGAGGATCCAGGTATGGTCAAGGATAATGTCTATAATTTTCGGTGATGATCAGATGAAAAATATTGGGATGAATTGGACCGAAAACTTACTTTTTTGTGTTTTTTTTCGAGTTGATCTATAGGCCACAAAGAAAGATATATTTTCGTGGAAGCTGTGTAGGGTATCATATGGTCGGCCCCATCCGACTATACTGCTCCGCTCACTGGTTTTTATAATTAATAATTTTTAAAAATGTTCTCCGCCATTTTCGATCCACCCAATTTAATTTTTTACTTTCTTGAGAATCATAATCAGAGACTCTAAAACCCGTATGTGTGAAATTTTTTTCCATAAACCCACTACTCTAATTATTATTGATATCTGGCCCATAGTGAGGCGGACGGTGAAGGGTATAGATAGATCAATTAATAAGGTTCAAGTTCTATTAATAAGGTCACCCAGCAAGGGAAAGTCTGCTATTTTTCTCAAGTCTAATGTCATTGTTTACGTTTTCATAATGGCAATCAGTTCACAATAATGGATTTTAGCAGCAAACTTGAGAAGCGGCTGATATTCAACTGGTCTTCCTGGATGACCTTATTAATGGGGCCTTGCACCCAGCAAGCGAAAGTCAGCCTGTTTCGCTCAAGTCTAATGTCAACAATTTGGACTTTGTGTTTTAATAATGGATTTTTGACAGCAAAATTGTGAGACAGCTGATCTCCTTGAATGACCTGACTAATAGGTCTTGTAAAAATAGTTCCACAGACCTTATCGTTACTAAACATATAATTTATCTATCGAGAAATATGCAAAAAACTTCCACCATTCCGCATCTTTAGAACTTAATAGATTTGTCTGTGCCTGGCAGACGAGAAAAAAATCCTCCTCCCTAATTAGGATAATAAGCTTAGCAAAGAAAATGAATATGAATGTATGCAAAATATTCCTGGGAACAGGTGGAAGGCAATAAGCTTATGTTAAGAATATTATACTGAAGAAAAAAGGTCAACCAATCTCCATCGCCATTATATCAACAATGTCAGTTTTGTAGGTAATCATGAAGGCCAACATAAACCATGGATGGATGATATATAATAAACTTTACAGCATTTAGTTTATGGCAGCATCTCCGTTAGACATCACATCACAGCGGAACTACTATGCTCTTC